GAACTCTTTTGGTGAAGCTGAAGACTTGTGAGATACGAGCTGGTTAAAGTTCGAAGTTCAGGTGCTTAAATCTCTCTCGCATATGTTCTTAATGTACTACTACTGTCATAATATCATCAGCTTTGTCCGGGATTTAGATCAGTGAAGAATCCTAATATTTTCTTGCCTCTCCTCGACTAGAACCTCCAACTGTTGTTCTAAGACATCTTTTATCTAAGAGGTTCATGATTGTTGTACCTAAATGCCACAGATTATTGTACGTATATGTTACAACTAAAATATTCTGATACTAATTGTTGTATCGTAAGCTGAAGCTAGTTTGATTTTACTGGTTGTGTAAAGTTTGATTTAAATGGCCGAAAGAGAGTATATGAATTTGAAGTGGAAGCATGAGCCCCACTCGAAAGCGTGAGAACTTACTTTTCAGGTCCAAAGGATAGCAATTACCAACCACAATATCGATCGCATTCACACACCCACGAACTAAAGTTAAACAAAGAGAAAAAGATTTACATAGTTAGAAGAAGTTTTCCTACATCCTCGTGTGGTGGCTAAACACTATAACAAAAAGCGTTTACGAGTGCATCTTTTACGCCCTTACACTACAAAGTCTCTTTTACAATGTTTATCCCAATTGTCTCTAAACAAACACAAAATGACAATTACTCCAAATCTCATAACAATATTAAGCAAACCTTTAAATTAATAGCTATAAGCCAGGCTCATACATCAATTCAAGCAATACTAATGTTAATGTTCAAGCATACCAAATATGTGAGATGAACCGTGGCAGGGCTGAAGGGCAAGGATGAGTTAGGAAGAACCAATCCAATGGGTGTTGAATCTGTGTGTGATACAATTTGGAGAAAGGGCAAGATGCAGGCAGGCAGCACAGCCAACCAATGCTTGAACGGCCATGATTCATGATGATGATGATGTTGTTGACTGGGACAAAGGCCCTGTGCTTTGCCATCTCACCAATGATGGTTAGCACAGACGAAGAACACTAAAGAAGAGGAAGGAAGCAAATTTGGTGGTAAGAATAGAATAATATTGAATGAAAGGGCCCTTCCAATTTAGACAGCTCTCTAAACAAAAGCTGATGATAACCAGACATCCAAAGTTTATGTTTGTTTCAAGGTTATCTTTTTAGTAGTTTCATGGATTTTCTGTTTACATGTCTATTAATTTACTTTTCATTTCATTTTATTTTGATATAGTTACTGAATTAATTAACTAAGCAATCGATTTTGTTAGATGAACACTGATTGCTTTTGTTCGATATTTTGAGGATTCTATTGGTATGACTAAGTTTAGGGGCATAACTTTGATGCCATGATATTGTCAACACCGATTCTCTACAATGGTATGAATATTATCCACTTTGTGCATAAGCACTCGTGTCTTAGCTTTGGGCTTCTACAAAAGGCCTCATACCAATGAAGATACTATTATTTGATTATAAATACATATCATTTCCTAAATTTGACAACGTGGGACTTTCATCCAACCAATTTATCTAAATTAATATAATTATTTATTTAATTAGAATGAATTAATAATAATTTATTTAAATCATTTGAATAGATAAAAGTTTATTAAATAAATGAATTATCTATTAACAAATTATTAATTAATTAGATAACAATATATTAATTATAACTAATTACTTTTAGTTAGCTTACTGATTTTCAATAATCAAAACTAATGACTTATAGATTATTTATAATAAATTATTGGACTAATTTTGATTGGGTCATTTATTAATATATCATAATTTTAAAGCACAATTAATTTAATTAATTATAGTTTCTATAATTAATTAAAATAAATTAAATATTCGCACATGTTATATAAATTAATTTTTTTATTATTTTATTAATAATTTATTGTAATTATATAACATTTATTAGTACATCATTTAAATATTCACTATTAATTTATTTTTATAATTTATTAAAATAATTTATTTGAAATAGTTATTAAGATTATGGTAAAATCAACCATAAATTTAAAAAATTAAATAAATTTTTAATTAATTAAAGTTATTGTTACCCCTTAAGCCCACTGTTATTAGATATTGTTGTCTTTGGGTTTTCCTTCCAGGCTTTAAAATGCTTATAATAGGGAGAGGTTTCCATACTGTGCTAAAAAATGTTTCGTTCCCCTCTCCAACCAATGTGAGATCTCACAATCCACCCCTTGGGGGCCAGCGTTCGTTTACACACCATCCAGTGTCTGGCTCTGATACCATTTGTAATAGTTCAAGTCCATCATTAACATATATTGTCCTCTTTGAACAGACACGTTTTAAATATTTGATACAAGTCATCCTATTCACAAACATTTACGAGACATTCTATTCTCAAGCATCTTACTTTCAAATATCTTAAACAAGACTTTCTACCAAACGAACTACAATTTTTTTTTGTAAAGAGAGAGAAAAAAGAGACCCCTTTGAAAAAGCAGTGAAGGGAAGAACAATAATAATTTTGTATGAAAAGAATGTGGCATATGATGATTCAGTTGGGCAGCGTAGAACAAAAACAATCATCAAACCAGCAGCTCAAGCTTATGATGGGTATCCACTTTATGCATTGCAATATTAAACTACAAAGCTTCTTGGGGAAACAATGGCCTTCAAACCCTTTTTAACTTCTAATCATAATGCTCGTAACTCCTCATACTTTTTCTCTTCTTCTCTTTCTCCAATCACTTGCTACTTCCCATTTGTCCTCATCATTTGCTTTCGTTTTCACGGACTTGTGTAATGATCGAGTTAGGATCTCGTAATCTGCATCCTCAACTTTAGGGACTTCAAAAATATGATGGGTACAGCTACCAGCCAATATTTGATTTGATTTTATTTCATTTGGCACTAATAATGTATAAATTTTTAGTCTTTGAGTTGAAGATTGCTCGAGTCTTATTATGTTGAGTGGAAAGTTGATATCAATGTCTCTCGAATAAGTAGAATTAGAGTTGTAAGTAAAATAGTTATGGAGAAAAGAAGTTTGAAAGTTTTTCTTTAAAAAAATCAAACGTGGCAATCTCACAGCCAAATGACACACTCCAACAATCATTTTGTGATGATTTGGTGGCTGACATGACACTTCAAGGGTTAACTTTGGATGATGTGGGTGATGACGTGGTAAAGCAAATAAACTATGGAACAACACATGGGGGTTGTTGTGGTAAAATAACTAGAGTATTGAAAGCTCGAGGTGAAACACCCGCTCCCTAGGATCTGAATTAGTATTTGGAATCTACGATCGTTTCAAACGTATTTGGTGCTATATACATAAATAATATATTTAACTTATATCAATTTGATTTGGTTCGTATCAGATTGAAATTTTTTTTTCTCTCCTTTACCAACATCGTGCATGGCAACGATGATTACGACAAACATCTCTTATTATTTTGATAACTATATTTTTTGAATTAATAAACATAATTCCTTTATCATATAAAGGGAACAAAAACACATCAAATGACTGTGAACTTATAAACTTAACTGAGTAGAATAATTTTTGTACTGATGAATAAATTAAAGCTAGGATTTTTATTAATTACCCATTGCGAGATCTAAGCAAGAAGATACTGAGTTCTTGACCTGGGTACTCGTCCGGGTTGATAAGATGAAATGACTCCGAGTCAGCGCTGCCCACCACGTGCTCATAATTAGCTCTCATGTACATAATCTCCTCTGAGTCCGACCCGAATCCAGATGGGATTACACCGGCTCCGACTGTTGTCGATTGCATTGTCTTCAGCATGGATCGGACCGGGTCACCGCCTTTTTTCCTGGCTGCGAACCCGAGTTTTCGGCCGTTGCAGGACATTGCCCAAATGGGGATTGAGCGGAGAGGACAAAACCCGAGTTCGACCCCGTTGTATTCAAGGGCGATTCGGACGAGTCCGAACCGCATTTCGTTGACGAGTTGGTGAGTCAGAATCGGTAACTCGAGGAGGAGAAACGGTTTGGTTCGTAGCCGGTCGTGTTGGACACAGAACCACATGTGGCCACGTCTGTGGCCGAAGATGGTTCCGATGACCATGGTTTTCGAGGGCCGTGGTGGGGCCACGATGGCAGTGGCGGCAGTACAGAATTTTGGTGTGACGCTGTCGGGAGTGGTGGATGGGGAATCTTGATCGTCGGTTGGATAGCCGTTGGTGGTGGTTTCAACGTCGTCGCGAAGCGAGGTGCTTAGACGTTTCTTGGGGGTGGCGGCGGAGGCTGTGGCTGTTGAGGTGGGGGGAAAGAAACATGGGAGGAGGTACCGACGTAGGGCGTCGATCTTGGCCATAATCCTTTTTGGGGTTTGGATTTCCGGCTGAAAAAGAGAATTTTTGGTGGTTCTTATAAAGGTTTTGATCCGAGAGTCTTATATATATATATGTATATATATGAAGCCAGAACTATGCAAGTAGCCCTTGATTTCCCACACTTGTCAACTTAGGAATTAACAGATGTCTTATCATGGATAATGAATGTTTTATCTATTAAAATACGAACAAATGTTTATCTATTGAATTATGAATAGTGATAATGAACAAATGGATTATCAAATCATTCCAGAGTTTCAATTGAACTATAAATAGTTCCATGTCCGGATGATAACGAATGTCTTATCTATTAAACTATGAATAAATGTCTTATTCACTAATAATAAATGTATTATCTATGGAGCAATGAACAAATATCTTATCTATTAAGTTACGAATAATGTTGTTATCGTTGATAACTATTTCTAAACCGTTCCAAAAGTTCAATCAAAATATGGTTATGGGGTGAAATTTGTGGCATCATCTACGAGTCTTCCTCACCAAAATACTAGAGATTACTGACAATATTTGCTAAAATCATCCCTAACCATTTCGGGTTAAGAGTATCAAATTTATGAAGTTTGGTTGGGTGCATGCATACACAAATTTATTATAGGTTGAACACTAAGGTCTACAAAATTCAAGAGATTTTGAGTCGTAAACTTCCCCTTCCTAATTCTAAAATTCAACTTCCAAAACTAAGCTCATCTTCCAAATCTGAATTCCCACCAGAAAACAGATTGAATCAAACAATCTAATCAATCATACATATGATAACAACTGCCAAACATCATCATTACATCTCCTCTTATCATCTAAAACCAGATTCTTCATCCTCCGACCGCCTTTCATTTGCCTTCACCCGCGGATCAACATCCCCTTCCGGCAAGAATCTAGTACCAACAAACCGAAAGTAGAAGAAATTCAAAGCTGCTATAACACCCACCACGTAGAAAAAGTAATCCAAGTGGTTTTTGTTAAGATCATTACCCTCAAGCCATGATGTTTTTGAATCCTCTGTTTTACTTACTCTGTTCACAATCCCCATAAGAACAGAGCTCAGATAGCTAGCCAACGACAAGCTTAAAAAGAATATAGCTCCGGCCACCGTCCTCAGACTCTCCGGCAATTGCGTCGTGAGAAGTTCCATCACAGAAATGGCTGCAAATGCCTCCGTCAAACCCGACAATGCGAATTCCGGTATCAACACAGAAACATGTAACGGCGAAACAAATGTTCTGTTCTCAATCGCAGAGTCTCGTCGGATCTTCTCGAGAATTCCGGCGACTACCATACATAAAACCGACATCATAATCCCAATTTCGATTCTCATTTTCATGGAGAAGCGTTTGTTGTGATGGGTTTTTCTTTTCATGAACTCAACGTATTTCTCGTAAATGTAAATCCAAAGCGAGAGTGCAATCATGGGTATTAAACTCATCCAAGCCGGTGGGATTTCGAAATGGGGGCCGAGAAATCTGTTCATTTGAATCGCTTGTAAAATCCCAAAAGAACCCATTTGTTGCATTGAAATGAAACACGAAATCCCGGCAGCCCAAATTGGTACAATACCCACAACGCATTTAAGTTGCTCCACTTGATGAACGGTGCATAATTTCCACTCGTTTTTGGACCTCCCCTGTTCGTCCAATTCCATGGAGGAATCAGTAACCATAGCGGCTTTGTCAAAAACCAAAAATCTATTGGTGTGTGGGAGCTTAGAGGAATCCATTGGAGGGTCATGTAAGTGATTTGGAGAGGGTCTTGGGATTTGGCGTTTGCGGTATGTGGCGATGAGGACTTTGGCCATGTCAGCGAAGACGCTGCCTTGGGGGATCCTGCAGATGTATAAGTGGCGGCCGAGGAGGAAGATGACGATGGAAAAGATGAAGGCGGCGGTGGGGATTGCGAAGCCGAGGGTCCAGCTGATGTTGGTTTGGATGTAGACGACGAGGGTGAGTGCTATGACCAGGGCTATGGAGAAGAGGAAGTACCACCAGTTTAAGAAGCTTTCGAGTTTGGCTCGGCCCTTTTCGGTGTTGGTGTCGAACTGATCGGCGCCGAAGGAGATGTTGCAGGGTCTAATGCCACCGGCTCCGATGACAAGGAGGCCAAGACCAAGGTAGAGGAATGCGAGTTGCCATGGTTTAGATTGTATGCAGTCGGTTTTGCCACTGCTGCATGGTGGTGGTCTCATTTCAGGTAAGGCTGCGCCTAAGGTCAATACTCCCATGCCCTATCATGAATCAATCCATGAGAATCCCTTCTCTTTAGCTCACTCAAAAATAAAAAAATAAAAATATCAAATTCAACATGTTCCGTTCTTATTCGAGTTCGAGCTGTAATAACTAAGCCTACAGATAATAGATATTGTTTTTTGTCTTCTTCTTTCGAGCTTCCTGTTAAGGTTTTAGTTTTTAAATGTCTCGCTTATAAATAATGTTTCGTTATTCTCTCCATCCGATATGAGATCTTACAATCCACCCTTCTTAAGATAAGTATCCTCACTGTCGCACCGCCCAGTGTCTGCCTCTAATGCCATTAGTAATAGCCCAATCATACAACTTTCAAGTATTTTCATCTTTGGATTATTGTGAGATCACACATTTGTAAGAGAGAAGAACAAAACGTTAAGTTTATTGAAACCTTGAGGGAAGCCATCTCACTATCCACCCTCCTTGGGGACGCTACCCACCCACCCTCATTGGAGTCCAGCGTCCTCTCGACGCTGGAGCACCGTCCTACGTCTCTTAAAAGGGAAGCCCAATTTGACAACATCTGCTACAATGATATGATATTGTCCAATTTAAGTATAAGCTCTTATGGCTTTGCTTTGGGCTTCTCTAAAATGCCTCGTACGTACCAATGAAGATGTATTATTTACTTATAAATTCATGATCATTCTACCCACCTAACAATGTTCAACCGTGTGGTTTGAGGGTTAATTCTTGAACATGCACGTGGTAAAGAGGGATTAAAGAAGAAGGAAAAGTACCAGGAAGGAGGCGATGGAGCCAAAGAGGAGAGTATAAAACCTTCCCAAATAAGTATCGGCAAGAAACGCCCCAGCGAGGGGAGAAAAATTGGTGGTGCCGCCCCAGATTTGGAACACATAAGCCGAATCAACATTGTCCAAGTTATACATGGTGTGCAGATAAAATATCAAATTGGCTATCAAACTCATGGACGCCAGCTTCTCAAACGTCTCATTTGCTTGCGTTTATTTGTTCACAACCCACAACAACAAAACTAATCACAACCCTGAAATCAAATCAAAGTAGAAACAACAAAAACAACACAACAAATTAATTAATTTTACCGAGTATGAATCTGACGGCTCGCCATCCGCCCAGCGGTGGCTTAGGAGAAGGATCCAAGGAGGAGCGAAGAGTGCCATTGTCCATAGATTTGCTCTTTCAATTTGCTTCTGATCTGGTGTGTGTGTGTGTGTAACTATAGGAATTCATTTGGTTTGCTACACATTTCTATTTTGAGGTGGTCTCACTACACCCTCTCTCAGGCTGCCATGTTGTAAGGGATTCCAAATTTTATATGGTGAGTTACCCTTTTCTTCAAATTCAACGACACATATACTTCTACTTCTAGGACTTCTATTAATAGTCATCCAACCCATCTCAATTCCTTTTGTTTTTGTCTTTGGTTAGGATTATGGGTTTAGTTCAATTGATTTGTTAATTTGAATTATGGGTTTAGTTCAATTGATTTGTTAATTTGAATTATGGGTCTAATTCAAAATGTCTTTTCAATTATGAATAGATAGCGTTAAAATTTTAAAATTAATTTGAGTATGCTATGGTCTCTGTAGCAATCGTCATTCGCCTATGATATTCTTACTCTTTTCTTTAAGAAAAATGGTTTGAAAAAAAGTTGAGTATTTTAAATACCATGCAAGTGATTCTATTATATTACACATTGGGATATATCGTATTTAACCTTTCTTTTATTGGTTATATCATCAAACGTGACCATATCGACTTGAAATATGAGGGTCATACCATCATTCTCCCTTATGACCATATCACCAAGTTTTCAAATGTCTAGTTGTGACCATATGACGAAACATTGGAGGGTCATATTGCCAGTCTCCAACGTGGTGGCATTTTTTACAAATTCGTGCTAGCATGCACCTTTTCTTAAAGCGTTCATATTAGTCTCAAGGCTAGCATGCATACATTATTTAAAACCACAGCTAGCATTCATCGTTCCATAGAACATCAGTCCCATAACTAGCCTCTCTACCTTATATAAAATAGTAACCGAGTATTCATATAAAAACATTCATCGAATCAAACATATAACGTTCCAACAATAAGATAATTTATCTTGATTGCGTCTTAATTAAACGTGTATAGAAGTGGCCAAAATCGGATGAAGGGTTTAAAAAAAAAAAAAAAAATTAGGAAACATTCAAAGCTTGGAGAATAATTATTTTTGAAAAGTCCACACGCCTCTATATTGTATTTTCTTCTATTTCCATGATCTTTACCAATAAATTCAACAGTTGACCTTATCAACATTCTTGAAAAAAATCTTTGTTCTTAAGTTAAATAACCAAGTATTAAAACCAATATTTAATGTGTCAAATGATCACTTCAATCACTCAAATTTCCCAAAGTCAACTGATCTAACAGATTTTTTATGTTCTTTTTTAAAAATAAAACCATTGAAAATTTCAAATTCTTTTGTTATAAAAAGGAAGATAGAAAGAACAGTGTTTGAGGAACATGGATAACGACCACATTGTATTCTTAATGGCTCCGATAATGATTATGGTATTTGCGTTTTGCGGTTTTAGTCGTTTCGTAGTAACTTTGTGCTGTAAATGGAGAGAATTGCAAAAGATGAACAACGGAGGTGCTGTTTATGGCGTCGGCGGCGGAAAAATTATCAGTGGTTGACCAAAATGGAAGTCCTATTGGTGGAACCAACTTCCCGGCTGGATGTGGCAACGTCGGCTCCTTAAACGCCGGTGGCGAGTTTCAGTACGATAGGATATATGGCGGAGGACCGGAGGTGGTTGTAGCGATGGTGGGGGAGGTTATGAAATGTCAATCTTGTAGTTCTTGCGGCTGCACCCACGGTGGCTCTGCTGGTTACTGATCATGATGTTTATTTAGTTTCATTTAGATGTCAATGTTGAAGCTTAATAGTGAATTGATAATTATGCAAGGCTTTGAGCTTAGTGCCATTTTGTTATGATCACTTCGTTGAATTAACATGTTTAGTGATAATTATGCATGATAGAGCAAGAATTAAAGAAACGGAATCCGTTTGGTTGTAGCTATTTCGACTCATTAATCTTATCGATCTACAAAACACCATAAGGCTAGAGGAGAAGAGATGTGGGGAAGTTCTTCGAGTTTGCTAGCATACAATTACTATAATCAAAAAATACTATCTTATGAGATCTTTTGGGATGCCAAAAGTAAAGCCATGAGAGTTCATGTTCAAAGTGGACAATATCATACTATTATGGTGAGTCATGTTCATCTAACACCGTGCACCCTTCATGGTAGTGAGCATCGTCACGGTTGCTGAATGCAAACGAGTAAGCACTCATTCTTCCACTTTGTGTGGGTAGATCCAAACAGAGAAAAAAATCGCGTGGGTTTGGTTTCTCATAAAACGGTTGTGTAGGGGTCGATTCCGTGGATTCAGTCACCCAAGACATGGTCGCCAGAGCAAGACGTGGGTGGTGAAGGAAACATGCAATCATCGAAAGTGAAACTTAGGCATAAGAAGAAAATCGGGCAAAGAAGACAAGGTTCACTGGTCGAAAGTTGGGTTGGATCTGGAGTAGATATCCACGCATGATGAGCCGATAACTAGACAATGGCTCGTGCACGGCTTCGTCCAACGACCCCTTTGTGCATTGCTCCACGACTAGACTCGACTTTTGGCTTAGCTTGGTGGATTATTCGGCTCGGTATAGCATATTTGGTACCGTTTCTTACGTTTTTTACCCTTCCGAAGCTGTTTTGATCTCATTGGAGGTGTTTAAGGTTCGTTTAACCCTCATTTGCTCGAACCAAGTTATTTAGAGCTATAAATTTGAATTAAGGGACACTCTTAACTAGGTAGGTTTTTGTCATGTCTTGATACGATCCCGTAGGGAGATATAAGTTAGAGTGAACGATAAGGAGTGCCTCAAGTCAACTTTAGGATTATCGAGTAACTTCGGCTCAGACCAATCAAGTAAGTGGCTCTACTATCCGTTTGGATAGAAGAATTTCTTTATGTATGATGACACGTGTCTAGTGGTTGTGCATGTGGCATATGTACTATGATATGTTAGGTTAGGTTAGACTTCGATATGCTACTGTAAAAGATGGTCATACTAGACCTTTTCTCTAGGTTGATGTCCACTTCTCTAGTAATGGTAGAACAACTCAATTAATTAGTGGGTGATTGTTTTTTCGAGCTGGCTAATTTTTTTATGCTGTTGTTAGTCTGTAAGACTATAAAAGCCAACCAAGTTGATCTATTTGTCAATGCAATTGATTTCAAAGCTTTAGTTTGTGTGTTTACAATATTTGGTATCAGAGACACATCGCAAGGCCTGATTGTGAGAAGAAGAAATGACAGTTTTTTCTTTAAAGAGTAAGCTAAAAAGATTCAAAATATGGCAGCTGAAATCAATTTCGTTCAACCGGCAATTCCTAAGTTTGATGGACATTATGATCATTGGTCTATGCTTTTGAAAAAATTTCTTCGTTCAAAGGAATATTGGTCTTTGGTGGAGATCGGAATCCCTGCCGCAGTAGAAGAAGTAGAGATTACCGAAGCACAACAAAAAACAATTGTAGACCAGAAGCTGAAAGACTTGAAGGTCAAGAATTATTTGTTCCAAGCCATTGATCGAACTATTATGGAAACGATCCTTAATAGAGATATTGCAAAACAAATTTGGAACTCTATGAAGTAAAAGTACCAAGGTTCCACAAGAGTCAAAAGAGATCAATTCCAAGCTCTTAAGAAAGAGTTTGAAGTCCTACCTATGAAAGAAGGTGAGAGTGTTGATGCATATTTTGCTCGAACTCTCACCATTGCAAACAAGATGAAAATTCATGGCGAACACATGACACAACGGGTGATTATTTAAAAAATCTTGAGATCAATGACCTCAAGATTTGACTATGTTATATGTTCGATTGAAGAGTCAAATAACTTAGACACTTTAACAATCAATGAATTGCAAAGCAGCTTACTGGTACATGAGCAAAGACTGAATGGATGTGTAAGTGATGAACAAGCACTAAAGGTGACATATGATACCAGATTCGGTGGAAGAGGAGTTGATCGAGCTCGTGAAGTTTTTCGAGGAAGAGGTAGGGGAAGAGGAAGAGGTAGACATCCATTCAACAAAACTACCGTTGAATGTTACAAGTGTCATAAGTTAGGACACTTTAGATATGAGTGTCCTCAATGGGAAAAGGAAGCAAATTATGCCGAGCTTGAGGATGAAGAAGAAATCTTGTTGATGTCATATGTGAAGCTCAATCAATCAAGGAGGAAGATGTTTGGTTCCTTGATTCGGGGTGTAGCAATCATATGTGTGCAAACAAGGAATGGTTCTCAGATTTTGACGAGGAGTTCCGACAATCTGTGAAGTTTGAAAATAATTTCAAGATGACAGTGTTGGAAAAAGGTAACATTAGATTTCAAGTTGCTGGAGTCACTCAGGTAATCACGGATGTTTTCTATATACCTGAGTTGTAAAATAATCTCCCAAGTCTTGGACAGCTGCAAGAAAGAGGTGTATCTATTTTGATACAACATCATGGAGAATGCAAAATCTAACAATCTCCTAAGTCTTGGATAACTACAAGAAAGAGGTGTATCTATTTTGATACAACATGGAGAATGAAAAATCTATCATCCCAAGAAGGGGCTTATTATGCAAACAACAATGTCTGTAAATAGGATGTTCATATTACTTGCAAGAATCATGCCACAAACCACCACTTGCTTGCAAACAATTATCGAAGACAACACTCATCTTTGGCACCGCAGATATGAGCACCTAGGCTTCAAAGGTTTGAAAACATTGCAACATAAGCAAATGGTGAGAGGGTTACCCCAATTGAAAGCATCGTCTAAAATATGCATAGATTGTATGGTGGGAAAGCAACATATGGATGCATTTTCAAAGAGAAGTTTATTGAGAGCAACACAAAGACTGCAACTGGTACATGCAGACATTTGTGGACCCATAAAACCTCTTTCCAACGGTAAGAAGAGGTATTTTATTCGTTGTCTACGCACAAACAGGGGTAGAGAGTTCACCTCTCATGAGTTCAACAATTTTTGCAAAACTAATGGTATCAGTAGACAACTTACTGCAGCCTATACTCCCCAACAAAATGGTGTAGCTGAGCGCAAGAACAGAACAATTATGAACATGGTTAGAAGTATATTATCAGACAAACAAGTTCCAAAGAATTTCTGGCTAGAAGCAGTAAATTGAACAATGCACGTGCTCAACCGAAGTCCTACAGTGGTAGTGAAAGATATGACTCTTGAGGAGGCTTGGAGTGACGTAAAGCCTAATGTTGATTATTTTCGAGTTTTTGGATGCATTGGGCATGTTCATGTATCAAACAGTAAGAGAAAGAAGTTAGATGATAAAAATTTTCAGTGTGTGCTTCTAGGGATGAGTGAAGAGTCTAAAACATATAAACTCTATGATCCAGTGTCCAAGAAGATAGTTGTTAGCAGAGATGTGATTTTTTAAGAAAACAAATCCTAGAATTGGGAGAAAACTAATGAAAAGCTTGACTTGATACCCTCGAATGAGAAGATAGTAATATAGAAGGAAGCGAACATGACCAAAGTGAGGAAGAATTTGTAGAGGAAACGATAGCAGAAGAAGAAGGGGAAGTTAGTATATCTTCCAGTGAGTCATCTGAATCAAATTTCTCAACATCTGAAGAAAGCACTCCCGAAGTGAGGAATAGAAGAGACCCATTATGGATGGAAGATTATGTGAGCGGGGGAAATTTTTTTGAAGAAGTTGAGCACAACAATTTAGTTCTATTAACCTCAACTACAGATTCGACTACCTTTGAAGAAGCTGTTCAAAGTTCAAAATGGAGAGAGCTGCAATGGACTTGGAGATAGAAGTCATCGAACGGAATGAGACTTGGGAGTTGACAGATTTGCCTAAAGGAATGAAGAAGATTGGAGTAAAGTGAGTTTTCAAAACCAAACTCAACAAAAATGACGAAGTTGACAAGTATAAGGCTAGGTTGGTAGCAAAAGGTTATACACAACAACATGGTATAGACTATACCGACGTGTTTGCACTTGTGGCTAGGTGGGATACTATTCAAATGATAATTGTTTTAGTAGCTCAAAATAGTTGGAACGTGTATTAGCTTGACGTGAAAAGTACTTTCTTATATGGAGAATTAAAAGAAGCCGTCTTTGTTGAGCAACCACAAGGTTATGAGAAAAAAGGTCAAGAATAGAAGGTATACAAATTGAGAGGACATTATATGGCCTTAAACAAGTCCCACGTGCATGGTACAGTCAAATTGAAGCACATTTTGTCAAAGAAGGATTTGGGAGGTGCAACTGTGACTATACTTTATTCATACAAACAGGAGATTGAGGTAAAATTTTGATTGTTAGTCTATATGTGAACGATCAAATTTTTACTGGTAATGATGAGAGTATGTTTGTTAACTTCAAGAATTCTATGAAACTTGAATTTGAAATGACGGATTTGGAAAAAATGAAATAATTTCTCGGTGTAGAGATTTTACAAAATCCTGAAGGCATTTATATTAGTTAGAGAAAGTATGCAAACGAAGTTTTGAAGAAGTTTAGGATTGAAAAAAGTAATAGTGTGAAAAGCCCTATTGTTCCTGGGGTTAGACTAACAAAGGATGAAGAAGGAGCCAAGATCAATGCTACCATGTATAAACAATTGATTGGAAGCCTTATGTATCTAACTGCAACAAGGTCGAATTTAATGTATATAGGGTCTCTAATGAGCAGATTTATGGCAATTCCTACAGAGTTGCATTTGCAAGCTGCAAAAAGAGTGTTGAGATACTTAAAAGGTACTGTAGATTTGGGAATCCTTTATCGGAAAAGGGGTAATGGAGAGTTGATAGCATATACTAACAGTGATTATGCATAAAATATAGATGACAGGAAAAGTACTTCTAGCTATGTATTCTTACTCAGTGATGGAGCGGTGTCTTGGTCCTCTAAAAAACAACCTGTAGTTACACTAAAGCAGAATTTGTGGCAGCTGCGTCTTGTGCTTGTCGAGAGGTGTGGATGAGGAGAGTTTTGGAAAAGCTTGTCATGTTCAAGACAAGTGTATCACTATGTTATGTGATAACAGTTCCACTATTAAGCTATCCAAGAATCCAATCATGCATGGACGTAGCAAACACATTGATGTGAAGTTTCAATTCTTGCGTGATTTGACCAGAGATGGAGTTATTGAGTTGAAGCATTGTGTCACACAAGAACAAGTTACAGATATTATAACAAAACCGCTGAAGCTAGATGCATTCATAAAACTACGTGAGTCAATGGGTATGTGTGCAGTATCTTGAGTAATCTGAAAGCATCCCTGCAATTAGTTGAGGGGAGAAATGGTTAAAGATGATCATACTTTTACTATGGTTGATGTCCACGGTCATAGAACTTTTCTCTAGGGTTGATGTCCCGTTTTTTAGGAATGGTAGAACCACTAAATTAATTAGTGGGGGTTGTTTTTTCCTATTTTTAGAGTTGATTAATTTTATGCTTTCTAAAGTTGTTAGTAAGACTATAAAAGCCAACCAAGTTGATTTATTTGTCAATGTAATTGATTTCAAAGCTTTAGTTTGTGTGTTTACCACAGCTATGACATGTCATGATGTGTTTAAAATAAGAAAATCTATGATGCACAACCCCTATGCCATGATTTGAAAGAAATAATTTATAAGAGTTTATGTATGCATAATTATAGAGTTTAATATGTGTTCAAAAAATGGGGGTTGTCTTGCATTGTTTATTACAATTGATGGAAAGTATAGAGATCTCATGCATAATTGTATGTTCATGTGTTTCGGGATACTTCCTCTTTATGATGAATACAGATGCGACACCACGAGATTGAAATGATTATCATGTTTACCATGATGCTACGACGATCAAAATTCCCTCTGGGTGTTCGGCAACAGCCCAACGCGTGATAGCCTAACCAACAGGCCTGGCGGGCCACGCTCGCACGTATAGGTTGTATGTAAAGAAGTACTATACATCCAACTTATCCTTGGAAAGTTACCTAAGAGAATGAAATGAAATGATGTTCTAAAAGATAGGTCCTCATGTTGCATGTGATTGCATTTCTGACCTCGGGCTCACTTACTGAGTATTTCTTAAAATACTCAAGTTTTGTATTATTCTTATATTTCAAGCAAAGATAAGGCACCCTTGTACTGATGACAGAGGCGTCGCATTGATCTATCTCTTAACAGCGTCTAAATACTATAAACACGTGTTTTCAACTCAAATTCTATGTTTGTAGCATCTAGGTGCTAACCTTCCATGTCTCATTTACTACCTTTCTATCCTATTTTATTTTTCACATCTAGTCTCGAATTTAGATTTAGGATCAATGTTGACTTCTTCTTCTTATTATTATTATTATTATTATTTTTTGTTAGTTCGACGTTTTTAGTCGATAGTACATGTTGAAAAAGATATATATTATTATTATTATTTTTTTAACTTGTTTGTTTACCAAGTTGGTCAACCTTAATTTTCTTTTTTGTCAACCCATGATTGGGATCTCCATTTTCTTACAATATGGAAGCTATGTTCCCATTATAGAAAACCTAACCAGATAATTGGATAACAATATCTTTAATAATATTATTGCTAATTATGAAAGTGCAATCAATACCACCTTTAAAAATTCACCCAACAAATTGTTTTTCTAGAAGTTCTTCCCTCAAATACATACAAAACTAAACATAAATAAAGTCAACTAAACCAATCAAATGTGTGTCTAAAACCATTGCACAAACCCTATTGTCATTTCCACACAAAAAAAAAAAAATGTCAGAATTGAAACAGAAGGTCAAAGATTGTGTACAAAAGAACACCAAAGATTTTCAAACACTGAACAATTTGAGCTCAGCCATTCCCCCACGTCTTCTTTTTGGCTATATAACACACCAAAAGTAAGAGAACTTCAATTCTTTGAAATATGGTTCGAACAGCATACATTGTCTTGCCCATTGTCGGGGCTTTTATCATTTGTTTTGTCATGTTGCTGTCGTGTTTGCTTTGCCGGAGGAGAGTTTCTAAGGGAGATGCTAGCAGGGGGAGAAAAAGTGGAAGTTATGTTGAAGGTGGCAATAGAATTGGAATAGTTGTGGATGATGGGAGCTATGTGGGTACAACACCCATGTTTAACGGTGGTTATGGAGGTTGGGGTTGGGATTGGACTTTTAGTAGTGTAGGAGATACAGGCAACGGCAATGACGGAGGAGGTTGTGATGTCGGTGGAGGTGGTGGGGATTCTGAAGTTGGTGGTCGAGGCAGTGATGTCGGTCGAGGTGATGGAGTTGGGTGTGGAAATGGAGACGGCAACGGAGCGAGTTTTCACGAGGCAGGTGGTGGAGATGGTGGTGTAGCGAGCTCTTTCGACGAATGTGGTGGTGGAGGTGGGACTGTTTCTGATCATGGAGGTGGTGGGAGTTTTCACATGGATGGTGGGCATTCTAATTTTGGAGGTGGAGCAAGTTCTCACGGTGGAGGTGGTGACGGAGCCAGTCATGATCACGGCGGAGGTGGTGGCGGAGCAAGTTATGACCACGGCGGAGGTGGAGGGGTTTCTGATTATGGAGGTGGTGGAGGGGGTTTTGATTTTGGAGGGGGCGGAGGATCATCCTTTTGGTGACAATTTGATATTCGTTGTAGCATAAATTTGATATTCAAAGATACTTCAAATCCCGCTCCATTCATTATTAGATAGTTTAAGGTGGTTTTTTTAATATATTTTAAGATTTATTTACGCTAATTATGACCGTAAAGCATAAATGGTAGTTAATTATAATCATAAAATATGAAAGTTACCATTCTTGAAATGCTTCCGGCAAGATAATAGTTTTAATTGTGAAGCTATATAAAAGGATAAAGTATACATAGTGGTTAATGTTATCTTTGTAAAGTAGATTTAGAAAATGTATTAAAATGAGCATTTGTGCTTCTTTTTAGCCAATAACTAAATTTCTTTGCAATTGCATGTACGTTAGGTTGCATGTGGAATCATTGAAACTTAACGTGATCAATTTTGCTTATAAAGTGATTCGAATCTCAAACAAGTGTTTTTGCTTAGAACATAGTGTTCTTACTTCTCTCCTGCAATTCTTTATAGTTTGGATTGTATGTTTAGAATTATTCAAGCTAGAAATTGCTAGAGAAGTAATTCGAATCTCAAACAAATATTCTTGTTTTAAGATATTTGATCAACATCGTAATCTGAATAATTTAGGAATAATCTAAATTAGCTACGAAAGGAATTGGAGAGACCAAGTAAAACACCCAATTAGATGAATGTTAATTAAGATAGTCAAAGGTTGTGGGCAAACGTTACAAGTTTTTGAAAGTTCAAAGCATTTGACTTGGGTTTAACAGGTCAAACATTTGCCATGATTTTGGTTCCTATAAATTACAACCCACAATAACAGTTCATTGATGCAAGAGATATCCAATTGAGAGGCAAGATGGTTCCAACAGCAGTATTCATCATCCTACCCGTTGTCTTCGTTTCCCTCTGGATTACTATATGTGTGTTGAGTATTATTTGTCGGAGCAGAGTTTCTAATGGCAAAGTTAGCGGCGGTGATGTTGGTGCTTATGATGGGAACCAAGTCAATATAGATATTGATGACGGTGGTAGCGGCGGATTTAACCACGACAACAACAATGGATGGGGCAGTGACGCTGGAGGTGGCGGCTATGACTTTGGTGGGGGAGGAGGATATGACTTTGGAGGTGGAGGTGGAGGCGGCGGAGGTGGAGGATGTGACTTTGGAGGTGGTGGTGGTGGCGGCGGCGGTGGCGGAGGTGGGGGAGGAGGAGGAGGGTGTGATTCTGGAGGCGGCGGTGGTGGAGGCTCATCTGGCTATTGACCACGGCAAAGAAGGATTTGGTTCGCAGAAACAAGATCATAATTCTTTTATTTCTCAAAAGTTCAATTTGTTCATTTGTACGAGTTAATCAATTGTTCATTTGTACGAGTTAATTGATTAAGATATTCGTAAAGAGAGTGTCTTTCACTTATATATATTCATGATCTTCTCCTTAATTAGTCGGTATAGGACTCAAATGCTCTTCAACAATCCTCCCCAAAGTATACCACGTAGAGCTTCCTTTGAGATTTTGTTCTCTAGAGCCCTCAAACAAATTACGACATTTGTTCAACATTTGAGTCACTGTGACTATATCTTCGAGACACACAACTTATTTGTTCGACACTCCAAGGTTTTATTGACATGATTAAGTTAAGATAAAAGCATGACTCTCATACCATGTTATGAGCAACGACCCTCCACATTATATGACATTGTCCATTTTGAGTATAGATTTTCATGGTTTTACTTTTGATTTCCTCAAAAGACTTCGTACCAATAGAGATAGTGTCCCTCACTTATATACTCATGATATTCCCCTTAATTAGTCAATGTGGAACTCTAACATTTGGTATCAGACTCGTACATCTCCTAGTCAGATGTGATTCGGGGACGAACTAAGGTAGAAGCTAATGAACATGTGACACACAAGTAAAGGAATTGTACATGAATGAACTGAGATTACATCCAAATGAGAGTGAATCGGAGGATAGGATATATAACTAAGAAAGATTTAAAAAAAAAAATGAAAGTTACTATCTAGATTAACAAGATTTTTTTTTTTTTTTTAATATCTCAATTGTAGAAACGTCATGATTAAGCATGTGTATTACTTGGAACAATTTTATATGGGAGCATTTGGAATTACTCACGTACTTACCCTATATGAGAAGGATTCAATTTCATCCCGTAGCGTGATGGAACTTTATACCACTCATGGTATATGATACCCTTAAATCATTTTGTAACGAGTTATTACTTATATTGGTATGTTATAATTGAACATGCTCTCCCGTATATCAGCCTGTTAGGTTGAATTTAATGACGGTGGCAATAAATGAAGGGAAGAAAGGCAGAGCGAAGACCTGGAGTCTTGGTCTTCCCTAAGTCAACTCGGCTCTTTCCTTCTGGCTATAAACCTGCCCATCCAGGAGCCCTCTAACCAGATAATCTTGGCGCCGGGGCTCACAAAGACCGTCTCCCATGTCCATCCAAACCACTCTAAACTATTATTCCGACGATCATGTTTACACCTGTCAGGCTGCAAGACTTCCAGCATTGGTAACCGATTCCGATGCCATATCTGCTCCGTCGACGTCCACATCTACTGCCTCGATTGCCCACCTCAATTATCCTCCTTCCTCCACACTCACTCCCTAGCTCTCTTGCCCTGTATGGACCATCGGAGCTGCGACGTTTGTCGTGAACGCATCGATGGCTTGTTCTACCGATGCGGTAGCTGTGACTTCGATGTGCACCCACTTTGCACCCAACTCCCTGAGCAGCTCCACATCGACAAACGCCATAAGCTCAGGCTCCACAAGCTCTCCTCTGGCCGTTGTTCTGTTTGCGAATCGGATTGTTCTTCTCTCTGGGTCTACAGCTGCAATGTTTGTCCAGTCAATATCCATCCCCAATGCATCCTCAAGCCGTATGGTCCGCGCCCGAGTGAGAACCCGGCTGTCCCGCCGTAGGATTCTCGCTCAATACCATATGGGCACGCGCCGTCTGGGTTTGGCGGTTATGGTTATGCAGGAGGAGGAGGTGGAGGCCATTCTTCCCATGGGAGATTTCCGAATTCTGTTCAATTCCCACCCAATAATTAGGGCCATTTTTCTCATTTGAGATTTTCGAAGGGACATTCTAGTTATGGTACTCAACCTAAGTCTTACGGATCTGTTCAATTTCCACACAACAATCCGAGCCATTCTCCCCATTGGGAATTTCAAAATTTCCATTCTAGTTATCCGACTCAACATAATTCTTATGAATTTGTTCAATTCCCACAAAACAATTTGGGTCATTCTTCCCCTTGGAGATTTCCAAAATTTCGTTCTAGTTATCTAACTCAACCTAATTCTTACAGATCTATTCAATTCCCACAAAACAATCCGTGTCCGAGGGCAATTTATGGCGGACAGACATCGTCACCGTCGTTGTCTCTCTGGGGATCGATGTTCGGGGCTACAATGATTTCTTCTTTGGTTGAAAATTTAACAGTAGGCACTGTTACTGCCTTTATTTTTGGTTCCACTGGTTTCTAATTCTTCATCTAATTAGTGTGCTTTGTTTATCCTCTTAAATTGAAAATGGTTTTGACTTAGGTTCCTTCAGAGTTGTATCGTTGATAATGTATAGAAGTATTTTGTGCATCATTTAGTTAAACTATAATTTTATATGTGGAACTTTAAGCATGTTGTGTACTCATATGTACGTGGATTTACTCTCCACTCATATATTGTATCGCTTACGTATGATGTATGATATGTTATTTTGTGTTATATTTCTTTAGGTTGATTTTGACGGTGAGAGTCTATAATTCCTTAGGCAAGTTGAGGGTTTACCTATAATGTGTTATTTTGTGTTCTATTTCTTTAGGTTGATTTTGACCGATGTGAGAGTGCACAAGTCCATTCGCAAGTTTAAGGTTTACAAGAGCAATATTACGTTAAAAGCCTAATAGGGTTAAGCCCAACACATATATATTTATGTTACGAAAATGATTTAAAAATTTTAGAAATAAACTTAATAAAATAATTTAGGTATATTAAGAATAAATATATCTAAATATTTTAGAAAAAATATTGAGAAATTTTAGTAATAAATTGTATAGCTTATATTATAAACATCACTCCATCCTACCTAGGTTATCATCCGAAGAAATACAAAGTCTAAAGAGTGTCTTGAAATCTTTCTCCATTGGTGTTAATAAAGAGTTGAGTGTTGCCAGGTTGGTGTAGGGTGTCTGATCTCTTGGAATTTTTAGTATGCTCTGTGGTTGCAACTATTTGATCTTTCACATCAAAAATGATTTCTTGAGATTATTAGTGAGTGAGTTTTGTTGTGTTGTGAGTAGTCCGTGACTGTGCAAGTCGTGTCGAGTTGGAACATATTTAGGATGACAAGACACCGAAAGAACCATGGGACATGTTCATAATGTTGTTCTCAAAGAAAAACGATACAAGGTTACAACTTCTGAAGATCTAGTTGTTATCAATTTCACATCGTGACATGACGATTTCTCAATACTTCCACAAATTTAAGTCAATTTGCCGGGAGATTACTGAATTAGACCCGAAGGAGAATTCCAAATGAAGAGAATCATTATTCATGGATTGCGACCAGAATATAGAAGGTTCGTTATTTTTGTATAAGGATGACCGGCTCAACCATCACTTGTAGAGTTTGAAAATTTGTTAGCTAGCCAAGAAGTCATGGCTAAACAAATAGGAGGCATCACATTGAAGAGTGAAGAAGAAGCACTCTACACAAGTGAAAGTCGAAGCAATAATAAGTCGTCTACCAAACGTGGATACAAAAATGTTGACAAAGGAAGAAGCCACCTAGAAACTGCACAACCAGGGAGAGCTAAGAAGAACGACAACAAGAGCTCTCAAGGGAAGAAATTTGAAGGTGTTTGCTACAATTGCGGGAAGAACCACACATGTTGGTTTAGAAAAAAGTCTATCGAAAGCAATGTGGCATCCTCCAACATGGAGATGGAGGAGGAATGGGATGCAGAGGTACTATGTGTCATAGAAGAAGACGAGCTAGCTCTCATGACGATGACGAGAGAGCATATCGATTATGAGAATGATTGGATCATTGATTCAGGATGCTCAAACCACATGATTGAGGATCAGAGAAAATTGCAAGACAAGAAATAGTATAAAGGAAGTCGTATGGTACACACAACAAATAACACAGTTGTCAATTGCTCAGATCAACAATACGACAATCATGCCTGACAATAAATCTGATATAGTGTCACTACACAATGTTTATCATGTACTGGGAATAAAGAAGAACTTGTTGTCAGTGTCACAACTAACAACATCAAAAAAATATGTCTTGTTTAAGCTAGAAGATGTGGAAGTCTATGAAGATATTAAGATAACAGGAAAGCCAACAATGAAAGGATGAAGAGTGGATTCCGTTTACGTCCTATCTGCAAAGTCTGCCTATGTTAACAGGTCCCCGAAGGATGAGACAATAGATCTATGACATGTAAGGTTGGGACTTGTTGGCTGCCACAAGTTGAAGCTTATTATGGACAAATTCATGCTCAAAGGCCTACTTCAACTTGAAGTCAAAACAAACGTTGTTTGGGCTAGATGTCAATATGGTACAACTTATCAATTACCATAAAAGAGTCAAATTTCAAAGCAAAGAAACCATTAGAGTTAATTAACTCTGATATGTTCGGTTCAGTCAAACAAACATCAATCAACAGAATGCAGTATATGCTAACATTCATTGACGACTACTCAAGATATGTGTGAATTTTCTTTATAAAAGAAAAGTCGAACACGTTCTCAAAATTTTTAAAAATTTAAGATGATGATCGAATGAGAAGTAGGAGTGAAGATTCGTTACCTACGTTCAGACAATGGCAGAGAATACACGTCAAATGAATTCGATCAATATTTACACAGGTGTGGGATACGACATTAGTTTACATGTGCCAACACAACAGCAAAATGGTGTAATAGAAAGAAAAATCGACACCTTACAGAAATATTTCAAAGCATATTACACACGAAGAATGTTCCAAAAAGATTTTGGGTTGAAGCTATGCGAACCGATGCCCATGTGATCAACAAGATTCCTCAGCCAAGGCTAGGT